AAAAGTTTTGCAAACGTTGTTTTTTATTCCACAAAGTTAGTTTCCTTTCCGATTTGCCAGTGAATTTCCTCTGTGCTGGATAGTCCATTTAACGGCCTCGAAGCCAGGATAGTGGACAGATAGGTACTTCATTATTTACTGTTTGCAAGGAGGAGAAAAATACACTGTTATGCATCTGATATTTTCACGACATGGCATAATTTGTGTAACGTTAGATTGCTAAATTTGCCGATGAATAAAGAAGAATTATCTATTAACATATGTTAGCGTATCACTGGTGGACATCAAGTATAGTTTTGTTTCAATTGTGAAGAGCGCAAGGATTGTATTTTGCACTTTATCTTCGGAGAAAAGGGGGAGAGTAATGCTTCGTATTTTTTGTGGGAGGGAGGCGTATTGATTCATTCATTAATAAATGGAAGCGGCGGGCAAGAGTTGGTATCACGGAAAACACGTCGAACTTTCGCCTCTTTTACTGCCGCGGCTGGAATTCAGACTGGCCCGCTAACGGTATCGTAAATGACCTGTGACGATACATCCTGTGAGATGCCGGACAGGGGCTCGCGCGCGGGGCATAATTCACACCTTCTTCCTAAACCCGGACTGATCGCGGTTTGATTAGGTAACAATTGCGTGTTAATAACCTTGTTCAGTGCGACTTTCTGCAGATCCCGTCGGTGGCCGCGGACCTTCTCTGACTAATGGATACTACCTGGCCAATTTGATACTGTCTTTTTGCCACCGAGAGGGATCTGCTTGGAGATTAGATATCATTCACTTCTTTCTGGTTGCCACCCAATGCTTTGACACTAAACAGGCAGCTATGTCATGGCATGTGGAAAAGGTTAATAAAATTTCTATAAAGTATAACGCTGTTAATCAATAAGACAAATTAAAATTACAAAAGTGACAAAAGCTCTAAATATTTCCTGGAGGCTTATTGTAAACTCATGTTGACCATGAATTGGATAAGACTGTCACGACCTTGATAAAATTTTGAACTCTCGTCCACCACCACCAATACAACTTCCTCCATGATAAGGTCAATGTCCCCATGATCTTTGGTTTGGACATGTACGTTATCCACAAAGATGAAAATCATTTTTCCTTTTTTTGATCATGAATTGGATGGAAAATAAGACGGCCTTGATAAAATTTTGAACTCTCGTCCACCACCATCAATGCAACTTCCTGCATTATTGATAAGGTCAATGTGCTCTGATCTTTGGATTGGACATGTTATCAACAAAGATGAAAAACATGTTTACAACTTGGATCAACAGGATTACTTCATTCTAAGAACTTATTACATGTGTAAATTATGTTGCAATCACTCTTGCCTCTTCTCAAAATTTGTGCTTGGCAAGGCCTAAAAAAAATGTTCACTTGTTTTTCCTGTTTAAGCCCTAAAAAAATTAGGGTAGGTACAATGTACGTAGGTAGGTAGGGA